ACTCTATAACTGTCAGCATTGAGGAAGATGTTACTGGGAAGAGTAAGTACATTATTTCATTAAGGGAATAATTATTCCTCCTATCCTTTAGCATAGCTGGGATAAACCAAACTCACTACAGTGCCATTCGTAGTGGGGCTGTGGGGGCAGTGAACTCTTGGCCAAGAGATTGTCAGCCTCAGCTAAATTAAGAATTAAGGATGAAAGCAAAAGTAAGCAAGCTTTAATATTTGGAAAAGACCAGGTCATGTCTCCACCTGAAGGCAGCAGTGTTCCATTCTTTTGATCAGGAGGCCTACTGAATGTCATTTATGGATTTTTTCTATAATTCTAGTCTTACCAGGACACCCAGAGGTGGGATCCAAATTGAATATCAAGGGAGACATTCACCCTCAGTGGCCTCCAAGGCCTCTCACTGTCTAATTACCTAAGACAAATGCTTTCCATGCAAGCCTAAAAGCCTAAGTTCAATCCCCACGGGGAGAGGAGAGAAGCAGTTCACCTAAATTGTCCTTTGACATTCACACAATATGTGCATCACGTACACACCACCCCCACTGTCACCACCACCACCACCATAACACACATACACAAGTAATACACTATGTGTTTGTAAGGATAAATAGTAATGTATGATGAAAAGAAAAATATAGTTGATGAAAGTTAGGCTTAAGTTAAGGTAGTCAGGACTTGGCAATTGAATGAGAAGAGAAAAAAGCCAAGGAGGCCTCCTCTTTCAACTTGGAGCCTGAGCATGAAGCTATTACAAGTGTCTTAAGTCAGACCACAAAAAATAAAAAATAAAAACCACAAGACTGGGAGGGGGAGATGAAACTGGAGAGAGAAGGGGAAATATCATTAGCTCATAAAGTAACTACCGTTTTATTCTGAAAAGGCATAGTGTCACCATTTTAGAAAATCTGTAAGTTTACTTGTAGAGACTGTGCGAAGGACCTAAGAACAGACCTGAAAAAATGTTTGAAAATACATTATTTTTAAAACACTTTACCCCAGACAAGAAGCAAAATTCTCCTTTTAAGGATCCTAACAGAATAAAGTAAATAATAAAACAGTTGGAAGAGACATACTGAAAGACACAGAACAAGAAATCCTGCAAGTGGTACAATCTTTTGATTTCTGAGTGACTATTTTAGGGATTGGTATAAGGGCTAAGAAGGTCACCAGACTACATTCCACCCTTATCTGTGAGTCTCTAGGAAGCAAGACGTCTACTCCTATTTTTATATATGTCCACCTCCAACAAACAAAGCACAGTCTCTTCCAAGTCTACCCCCTAATTATCCAGGAGTTAGGATTTTTCAAGTGGCTATACTGCTAGTAAATAAGACATAGCTGATCCCATCATAGCCATAAAAGGTGTGAACCAAAGCTGAGTGACAGCCAGACTTTCCCTGTTGAAAACTCCAAATCCCTTCCTCTTATTCTGCTATGAATTTAAAGAGATAATTATTTTATTGGAAATCATTAAAATAAGAAAAAATTAATGAGTTGGACTTTCATCTCTATGTTTATCTTTTTGTAAAGCCAACATTTTTACAAGACTGCATGATATGCCCAATTGGGCAAATAGCAGGATGCATCATTAAAAAAAATGTGTGTCATAATATCTGTTAGTTCTCTTATGTCTCTGTTCATTTTTTTTGTCTGACTGACCTGTGCAGTGGTGAAAAAAATGTTTGTTATGAGTTTCAGTAACTTACTAGTAGTCAGTATAACAGCTCTCAAAATATGCTGCTATAATGGGATTTTAATGAGTGTACCCAGTAATTCTTTTTGTCTGTCTTAGTCTTGTTACTATTTTTAAAAACAGACAGAATAATTTTTAAGGGATAGAAATTAATTTTTCCTGGTTTTGGAGCCTGGGAAATCCAAGATAAGAGTACTAGTAGGTTCAATAGCACATCACCTGCAAGGGATGGATGCTATGTTATCACATGGTAAAAGGTAGAAGGCAAGAAATAGCATTGTGTGGAGTTTTCTTCACTAATTTCATTCAAGAAGGAGGAACCCTCATATCATAAATGCCTTCTAAGGTCTTCTCTTTTTATTAAGCCTAGATTGATAGTCCTTGAATTTTGTAAGTCACATTTAAATAACAGCACTAATGATATCTCATATCCATTTATCAGTTAACGTAATTTAATCAAATTGCTAGTTTTAAGTCAATATTGTCTAAGATGATTTTATTGAGTACTTTCTTGTTATTAAGATACAAATACCTGAAATAGACAAGGAAAAGGACTTTTACTTTGGCTCAGGATCTGGTCTAGTTTGCTTTTCTTGGCCATGGTGAGACACTGACCAAATCCAACTTGGGGAGAAAAGGCTTTATGACAGCTGACAGCTTGCAGCCTGTCACTGAGGGAAGCCAGGGCAGGAGTTCATGCAGGAAAACAGAGGCAGGAGCTGAAGCACAGAGACTGGAGAGCAATTCTGCCCTTTGAGTTGCTCTTGAAAGAACATTCAGTTACCTTTCTTATAGAGTTCAGGCCCGCCAGCCGAGGGATGGTGTTGCCCACATTGGGCAAGCACCCTTTATGATAGTCTGCAACAAAAAAATACCATGCTCACACACATGCACACCAATCTGATGGAGACATTTTTTCAACTGACGGGTACTTGCCAGGTGTACCAAGCCGACCACTAAGGTAGGCCATCACAGGGGTTCAGTACATCATATAAGAGAATGCATGACTGAGTTTATGCAAGGGAGATGTACTGTAGCGAGTGTTCAAACAGCTCAGAAACAGAGAAAGCAGTCCAGAGTCAGATGCAGGCTTAATCCCAGGGAACTATTTCAACCATCCAGCCCCTACCACTTGAAGGCTCCACAAAATAACCTTCAAAATAACACTAGAAGACCCGAAGCTTCAAGTTCAGTGTATGCGTCTAGTTGGGAGATTTTAGATTCAATCATCATGTAAATACTGCATGCTACAGCATATCAGGAGACAAACTGGCCTGGACCTGACATACCTATTAGATGTTAACTCTTTCAGGTGTCTATGGAAATACTTAGCACATTTAGCAACTCAGACAGTGAGTAAATCGGCTTAAATCCTGGCCTCAGTAGCAAGAAGATGTGGATCACAGCTCAGCAACATGAGTATTTTTGGAAGATGTGTTGTAATAGTTTCCATCCAAGAGTGTAAAAACTGAAGCTGGCCACGGTCATTTCTGCCTATAATCCCAGCACTTGAGAGTCTGAGGCTGAAGGATCAGGAGGAGTTCAATGTAAATCCTGAAAGTATAGTAATGGATTCTAGGCAACCTGGGCTATGGAATGGACCTTATCTCAGTAACAAAAACACAGAATGTCAAAAATAATTTTATATTTAATTAAAGATTCTTCTTGACGTAAATGGGTCATATTCTGATAACCCATCATAAACTGAAAGTAACATGAATTAGTGAACTAGTTGATCACATGTCACAGTTCAGCAACATACTGCAGAATGTGGGTTGTTGACTTCTCAGATGCTGTGGTCCAGCATGGGCTGCAGCCGCCACTGCTGTCCAACTCCAATAGAAAGCATCCTGGTGCCTACCACCAGCCTAGAAAAAGATAAAAATGCAAAAGTCAAAGTATGGTTTCTATCAGATACACATTCCTTCTATTCTACAGTAAAACCTCCGTGCTCAAAGCCCTGGAAACTGGCTACCAACAACTATAAAGCTCTCTCTATAAAATGCCACTGAAACCTTTTGAAGAGTACTGGCGGCCAATACCCAGACCAATAATAAACACTATCTCTTCCATAATATTTACAAATTTTAGCAGCAAATATGAAAGATGGGCTTAGTGTGAGGTCTTATGTGTTTGTGACAGTTTTCCTGCCTCTGGACTGTTTCACTTACAGATTGAATCTCAGTGCAGTAAAAAGAGTGGACTATGTTGTTTCATACTACCCTTGGAAGGCATAGAAAAAGCCTTTGGAGTTCCCATGGCTCTTGATAAAAGATGATTGACGTGACAGAAAGACAAGATCCTTGAAGTTCACCAAGCAAAAGGCACACTAAACAACATGTTTCCCAAGCTAGAGACAGACCAAAGGTCATGGTCTTCCATGAGTCAGAACAGGCCAGCTCTTTTTAGTCACAGTCTCTGGAAAGTCTGGTTTAACCTTGATAACCAGAAGTGTTCAGATAATTATGCAGTTATTTAGATATACTGAATGGGATGCTCATGTAAGATATCAAAGTTGAAAGCACTGATAAGAAAAAAAAATAAGAACGTTTCAAGTATGCATGAGGTCTTAGGCTAGATTTGTAGCATTGAAAATAGAATACAGAGAACGTTGTGTCGTAATTAAGAGCAGTGTCCAGACAAGGGCTAGACACTGGGTTAACATCCTAGGCTGGAGCTTATCAGCTCAATGTCTCAGTGTCAACATCTTAAAAATGCAGATAATTATTGGCACCTACCTCATAGGGTACGAATGAAAATTAAACAATGTGCCTGTCATTATGCAAGCCAATGAAAAGTGGAAAGTGTGGAATGTGAGCTACAAATTTGTTAATACATCAATACATTAAGATGTTAAATTTGGCAAAATTTGAGGTCTATTTCAATGCTTGAAAATAAGCCAAAATCTTTCATTTTCATGAAAAAATATTTTCCTATACATATAACTACAGCTTCTGAGATAGAGAATTATTGTATAATCTATGAAATCTTTCACTAGCTTTGATTTTTACTTCCACTTAATCTAATAAATTACATTCTTCTTATACATTGTTCTTATTAAATGGAACAAATTAGTACTGGCTTTTAAATATTTTGTTATTTAACTTTTGCCATTTCAAGCATATAAGCTTGCCACACCGTTTATGGCTGTAGTAAAATCATTGCTAAAACTAAAGTATCATATTGTTTTCTATAATACCTGCATTTAGTATTTTGCTTAATCAGACATGAATCATTAAATATATGTGTATTTAAAACTATACAATGACAATACAATCGAGAGTGTGCTTAATCTACTGAAAATCTATTTCCATAAACATTCTAAATGTTTCATAAAAGAAGAATCAAAATACCCTTCTTTATAGCTAATCCTAACACATTTTTCTGTCTTCTCACTCTAACTTATTTGTCCTTGAAATAAAATAACATTGGTTCAATTGCAAAATCAGAAGTTTGCTTCCCTTCAGACTTCAGGAGCCAGCACTGTGCCGTAAATACAACACAGCACGTTCCCTTCTAGTACTTCATTAACAACATGTTTTGAAGCCCAAACTGATGGGACAGGCTAATGTCTGAGCAAAGGGACTGTCCCAGTGATAGAGTTCGAGTTCGGTGCATCAGGTTTTGTATAACCAGCAGTGGCTTGGGGGCAACAGCAATACTACCCCATTTGCTGTAAGGAAGGAGGGAATTTTCAGAAATCTTTATTTAGCTACAGAGTTTAGTGAACTTCAGTTCATGTTGAGGTCTCCGAAGAACAGGAAGAGTCCAAATTTCTGCCATCGAGGGTTGGAGAAGCCTGGTGACATTAATAAGATCCAGAAGCCCTGGCCAAACAATTGTGGTCTTCCTTATCCACTGTCCCACAGGGTGAGTTTGTTGATGCTTTCATCTCCTCAGTGTTTCCCCTCCTCCTCATCTCTGCTCTGCAGTGGGGAAGGGGAAAGGAAAATAAGAGAAGAAGCCTCCTGAAATTACAGTTCTAATTTAGCATTAGCAGGAATTTGTAAACCACCGCTAAGGAGATAAAACTAAGATCTGTAGCTACAAACAAAACTAACACTAACCTTTGTGGCTGTTTATGCGACCTTGATTGGAAACACAGAAGCCAGGAGTCTTTACTGGAAGAGTGGGAGCAATAAAATATTCCGAGAAAAAGTAATAATAATAGGGCCTACACACAAAACATTAATTCCAGAAACAAAAAAGATGCGATGAGGCATAGGAGTTCAAATGAATACAATAATTTTAAATGCAAAATTTTGACACTGGTTTGGACACGTGGCCTGTAATTGTTGAAACTGGGTTATCCTGAAGTTATAGAATTGATATGACAATTTCATTACTGAGAAAGTCTAAGTTTCCAAGATTATATATAATTTAGGTTTATTTCTGACTTTTTGTCTGTTTCTCTAAATATAATTAGTTCATTGGAGTAATATGTGTAATGCAATAATCATCCTTATGATTCTGTATATAATACTAGTCTATTTTGAATATTCATTTGTCTCCAAAATATTGTCCCTACATTCAAACAATAATTTGTTCCCGAAGAAAGTTCAAGAGTAAATCCCAGAAAAATTTAAAGGTATAGTTTCTACTCCAGTAGCTGTGAATGTTGTACATTGACACAAAACATAGAATGTTCAAAGTTCATTATCTCTCTAATTACAAGAGACAAAATCTTCTTCATACTTGGGAAACACTGTATTTTATCAATGTCCTAATGGCAATCAATGTGAGAGCTAAGATAATTATGCATTTTATTGAGAGAATGCTCTATTTAATAATATATTCTCCAGTAGTCAGCAGGCATATGGCAGTAAATTTTCAACCAATTAAAAAGAAATAAGAATTATAGCTCCTCACTTAAGCAGATTGCATGTCAAGTGTTCAACACAACAATAAAAAGTGGTTAGAGACTAATCTGTTATGACATATATGCACCACTCATGTCTATCCTAGCATAAAAATTCTGAGACAGTACATAGAAGTTAAAGCAATTCTGAGAAAGTTTTAGGAGAAAAGATAATTCCAATAAGAAGAAAAGCATGCTTTCTTTGGTCATTATTTTCAAAGATTTTTCTAAACAATAATAATTTTGGAATGTATATTTCCCATATTTAAATTGAACAACCTATCTTGTATGTATAGCTTCTTCATTGCATGTATAGAATCAAATTTTAAGTGATTAATCAATTAAAGAATGATATATCAGTAAAACCTAAAAACAAAATTTCAAGATAGCAACAAAAAATTTTTTTCAGTCAGATTATTCTAATACACAAATTAGATTAAGCCTTATGTTTCATATATATTCATATGAAATTACCATTTATTAATTTAAAATTACTATAACAGTAAAATTAATTATTCACCAATTTCTTGATTCTTTTATTTCCTAAACTGCTTGCATTAAATTGCACCAAAGACTAATTCTTACACTGTTTTTACACACACACACACACACAAAGCAGCCCAACATAAACTAGCCAGTTTGATTTCTTCTTTAAAAAAATGCAAGTTTTTATATGATAGATAATTAAACATCAATAGAGCTCCATCTGTGGAACCCTGAGAGTTTCATGAATGCTATCAAAGATGTCAGCTTTTAAATCTTAAAAACTATTATATCTAATGTCTCTCTTAAGTCAACGATGCATTCAAAAAGCTATATGTAAAAGTATTTGCTTGCATGTAAATATAATCAGAACTTTCACAGATATTGTCCAAAGGGAACAGCTTCTTTGAACATTGACGGCAGTAGTTACATCAATGGTCAGAGTGAATGCATGAGGGCCAGCTCGGATGCTTGTACCTCAGCCCCCTTGTCCCATTATAGTAGAAAGAGACAGATTGCTTAGTGCTTTCAGATGTTAGACTTTAATAGACTAGGATGGGTTTCCTTATTATGACACTGGTCTATCTGCTTCATTCACTTTGTAATTAAAAATTTATTATTCTTTTGTTTCTGCAAACATTTTGTGATGTTTCTTCCTCTTAAAAGAATATTCCATTTGTTGCACCACGTAGGAAGTAGTCCATTAATGCACTCACACAGTTCCTAGAATTAACCCAAATTCTGTCATGAATCAACTTCTTTTCAAAGTACTTCTTTGAGAAAATTAAGGGACAGAGCCATGCAGGCTTATGTCAGTTTGGGTTGGAGTCTTTCATCAACTAAGGATTTCACAGCACTCATCTGAGGAGACAGGAGAACACACGGTACTTTCAGGTTGCCTTAAATGTAAAATCAGTTTTAATGGCTATGTATAATTTCACTTCTTTTTCAACCATTGATTAACTCTATATTTAAGCAATGCAAACAGCACTTAATAGGAGCAAGCAGCTATCATTCCTGTGATATGAATACAAGGACAGATCTCATAATTAATAACAGTTCTACAGAATTCTAGTGAGTAATGGACAGAATTGCTGCCATGCTCAGAGTCTCAGTCTTATGTGTTTGGTTTACTAAATTATTTCCTTAAAATACACTATGTGACATGCCTAGAGTATAGACAGTGAGAATAGACTAGCAATTCAGTCAAAGCAACCATATTGGAGCAGATTAGGAAGAAAACTGATGTTTTTATCTACCCTGGAGGAGACCTGTGACATGGAAGAGCAACTCTGAGATAGAGGCATAACGGGAGAGAGAATGAAAAGAAGGAGGAAGAGATCGGGGCTGGAGACATAGTTTCATATGAGTTGGCAATGGAATAAACAGAATAGTCAGGTGGGAAACGACTTGTGTGTGTGTGTGTGTGTGTGTGTGTGTGTGTGCGCGCGCGCGCGTGCGCGAGCGCTCGCGTGCCAATAGAATTTTATTGAGTCACTAGACTTCCTCTGAAATCAAGATTCAAAATCTGAAAAATCTACATACAAAAGATCTTGCAATTCTCCCTGAGAGCCGTAGTGCCCCGCTGAGATGTCGGAGGCTCCTCCAGTGGTTTTCTTTGCTAGGCAACCCAGAAGCCCTCTGTTGGCAAAAGCATAGTGGATTGCTTCTTATAAAAAGAGAACTAACACACGCGCACAGGATAGGAATACTTTAGAATCTTTCAATGCTAGTATAGAACACTGGGAACAGACATAAAGTGTTAGATTTAGTGAGAAGCAAAGTCTTACATATTCATCTGGCTTTGTTTTGCCTTTCAGCACTAGCAATGATGTAAATGTAAGGAGAGTAATTCATATAGCTGAGGAATAGGATTTGTTACAAAATCACCATCCTTATGTATTTTTACTATGCCTTTAGTCCCATTAAATAATGGCTTGGGCTATTTGAGTTCTTGAATTGCACTAATAGTGAATGGAAGACATTAGAGTCGTTTTATTTGCCTTTCTATTGTATGCAGGCTGATACGCATATAATTTCTGTTTTAGCTGTATTGGAGAGGATAGGACACAGTAAACTGGTTTTCAAAGTCTTCCACATGTCATGTCTAACTGATAAAAACAAGCAGTCAGGGTAGAGGCAAATACCAAGGATGCCAAAGCAGTTTCCTTCAGTAGATACTAGACATCCAACCATGCCAAGTCACACTGTAATCAAATAAGCTTAGACATATTTAAAGGCAAGTGTATCATAGAAGAATTTTAAATAACTTATTATGGAAAATATTAAAATTTAAATAACATGGGGAAAGGTGATTGAAAATATAAACATAATTAAGACCATTTATTTGGGGTTTTTCTTGTACAGCTTGCTTAGAATAAAAGTCTTACATGTATTTGAAATTAGATATTAATTTGCAGCTCATTGTCGCAATATGTGAACAAGTACTCCTGTTGTGCAATAGGCAACATTGTCTTCCTTCCAGTTTTGGGGTCTGTTTGTTTGCTTGCTTTATTTCTTTTTAAGTTTTCTTTTCGTTGCTTAGAACTGCATCTCGATGCTGCCAAAGTCTCCAGTCGCCATGAAATTCTTAACACGACACTCACCTCAGGAACTCAATGACCACAACTCCGCCTCTTTGTTCTCAACGCCTGACACGAAACAGCTGGCTTCTAGCAGTTCCAAACGTCATCACTTGACTTGTCTTGAACCAGGCTTCATATGAAAAAATGTAAATTAGGTAACAGTTACTAGTGCTACAAAAACAACTTTGGGATGAGCCTGGCAGTAATTTGTCAGCGACAGGAACAATACCATGTTGTTTTGGTCTATGACTTATCTTGGTTTTCAATCAGGCACAGAAGGACTCCCAGTCCTTAAGGGTAACCACTGCGTTTTTGTTTGTTTGTTTGTTTGATTTGTGTGGGAGATATTTTTTTTTCCTTATTTGATTACAGAGACACACATGAAACCTAGCTCATGCCAAAACCATAAAAAGAAGACTTTCTTTAACCGGTGAAATTTTCAACTCATTTTATTATATTGTCAATGAGTTGCTGAGATTTGCTGGGCTTGTTAACAATATAGCCAACAGATAAGAAGAAATAAAAACTACTGGCCTGTAACAGGCCAATCAAAGAGCCAGGCTGAAGGCCTGCTCAGGTTACACAGGTGAGGCCCTCTGTGCCTAGTTGTTGACCCAGCTAATGGTCAGAATGCTCAAGGTTCCGTTGGGATGATCCATGTGCTAAAACAAGGTATTCAAATGTCTGCCAAAATGGCTGAGAATTTGCCTTTCTTTGTAAGCTTTCTGCACAATAAACAAAAGGCTGGTATTCGATACTAACCAAACAGGGAAGGAACAGAGAGTAACAGAGGTGGAGCCACAGTTCCTAGTACGACATTGGAGTAGCTGTAAGGCCTGTCAATCTCTGTCCCAGATCTTCAGTTGCCCTTGGTATAAACGTACTGCTTTCGCAGAAAATATTAGTTTTTATAAACATTTAGTAATGCAAATTTCCTAGATGGAGAGTAATAAATTCAGTAAAGGGTCAAACAATGAGAAATTTGTAGCTTTTTTAAAACAGTGAAACTTCAGATAAAGGATACTTGACAATGTTCTAAAGGGATTTTTCTGTATTAAAGTGGTGTTCTAAACAGCACTGAATTCTGCCACTGGTACTGTCTTTTCTCATTCTCACAAAACCTGCATACTGGGTTTTGGAGAATGTTCTCAGAAGCCAGTAAAATAATACGGCTGCATTTTTTTAATTGACTCTACCCAACAATATTTGCTATATCATTCTTTTTCTTATATATGCTGTTTTACATTCAAGTTTGTAATTCTCTTGATTTGAAAGATTTTCACTTTCAAAGTAAAGTTTACTCTGAAAGTCATAATAATACTATGCAGCCAACACATTTCAACATTCAGCCATATATTACATGCCCTTCGTGACTTTTAGGTTAAGAAAAACATGGTGCAGAAAACAAAGTCACAATTGGTAAGGCCACCTGAAATATAAAGTCACTGTTCATTGATGGTTCTGCACAGTAGAATTGTCTGTCCATTAATCTAGGACATTACCTTCCAGGGAAATTAAATAAAGATGATTAATGGGTAGACATGCAAACAAATTTTAGAGACGATATACCGACTATGATATGTTTTCATTCTTCTTAGGAAGAAGCAGTTCTGAAAAGTAGCAGTAAGGTACAATTTCTGTTTCACTATCAGTCATGCATTATATTTTTCACCCAATTTAAAAGAACATTTTAGAGTTTGAGTGAATAAAAATTATACCCATATTCCAAACTGTTATGTCTTCATTTGTACCATAAAGGCATATGGTTCACAGTCCTCAATATTTAAATGTCTTTTTAAGATTCATTTATCTTGATTTTATGTGTAAGTATTTTACCTGTGTGTATGTACATGTACTATACATGTGCCTGATAAAAACAGAGTCCAGAAGAGGGAATTGGACTTGTAAACTGCCATGTGGATGCTAGGAACTGAACCCAGCTCCTCTACACAAATAGCAAGCGCATTTACCTCAAATTGTAAACAACTGTGTTATGAAATAACTGCTAGAGACTTACAAGTATTTGTGAAAATGACCTTATAAATTTGGGAAATAATGTGATGCTAATTAGGCGGCCACAGTTCAATCTAAACGTCACTAAGAACAGGATTCCCCTCTCTTCTAAGATGTAATAAACAGGAAGGAAGTGGACACTTCTCTGCATATCTGATTGTATGAATTCAATCAGACTCTCCGGAGAGGGCTTAAAGAATGGAAGCGGTTGTTCTGAAAAGGGGAGGACTCCATGGAGCACAGGTCATACTCCCGACCTCACCCCTCTGTGGTGTCCTGCCAGATGTGCTAGAAGACAGCTCCCGTTAGCCTCTGTTTAGAGAGCCCAAACGTGCCCAGTCTACTGAGTGGGACTCCAAAGGAAAGTAGGTTCTTGAGGAACAGGCAGGTTTTCAAGAACTTCATGCAGGATTATCTTTGGGATTACATTAGACCTTCAATTAACTTTTAAAAAATGAAATATATATATACATATATGTATATATAATCATACATATATATTATACATACACACCCTTATAAAAATATATCAAACAATAATTTACCTACGCATTAGAAACTTTTAAAATCACACATCAGATTTTACCAAAAGTAACTGAAGACATTTACCACCTTTGATAAATATTGTCACTTTGACACACTCAAGAATTACTTGAGAAAGGACAATCAGTGAAGGATTGCTTAGATCAGGCTGACCTGGGGAGATGACTACAGAGGATTATCTTTTTTGCTTTAATTGATGTGAGAAGACCCAGATACTGGGAGTGACTCTATAAAAAAAATGATCACAAGCCTGTCCTGTACTGATTTCTCTCTTTGGTTAGATGTGCATATTATTTGACTAGCTGTTTAAGCTCTCTCACTGACTTTCCCACAATTAGGGACTATAACTGAAACTGTAGTGTAGGACAAAATAAAACCTTTCTCCTAGAAGTTGATTCTGTCAAGGTATTTTATAGCAGTAACATAAGCAGACAGGCATTAAAACCAAAGGCTAAGTTCTCCATCTAAGCAGCAGGATGATATAGAAATTTGATTCTGGAGGTTTCCTTCTTTGGTAGCTATATGATGATAAGCAAATAAGAAAATATTTCTGAGACCCCATTTCTTCCTCTGTTATCTTCCATGAGATGGACAACGTGGAGAATGCTTAGATCTAGTAGTGGGTAGTGATGAAGTGATAGCACCCAGCATGCCTATAGTATGTTCAGTAATCTGGTAAAAATTTTATTATGTCAACGCTTGTCTGAAGATTGGTCTGGATGGGAGTAGGATTGTAGATAAGAGTTTTAACCGCTTCGGTGAAACATGAGTAAGACCTCAGCCACCCACTATCAATATACAAACACATAGTTTCTAGCCTAGTCATACTGAACAGACAGCACTGACATTACAAAAGTACTTGCTCCTACTGGATAAAGTGGTGGTATTCTGCCACAACTTTTTCTCATTAACACTCACATATACAATAAAATAAAATGAATCAAGCTGTTTCCCCCTAGAGATGCTGCGTTCTTACATCCCAATGACTTGACTTAGTTCAGTGACTTGCTGTGACTAGTGGAAGACTGATGTGGGATTCTGCTCTGTATGTTGTGGATACCATTGGTTAATAAAGAAACTGGCTTGGCCTGATAGGGTCTGCGGGGAAAACTAAACTGAATGCTGGGATAAAGAAGGGCAGAGTCCAGATAAGCCATGGAGCTGCCGCTGGAGACAGACACACTGAAGCTTTGCTGGTAGGTCACGACCTCGTGGTATTGTACAGATTAATGGAGAAAGGTTAAAATAAGATGTAAGAGTTAGCCAATAAGAAGCTAGAGCTAATGGGCCAAGCAGTGATTTAATTAATACAATTTCTGTGTGATTATTTGAGGGGTCTGGGCAGCTGGGCAAATGAACAAGCGGCCTCCTACAACAGAAGACTTTGCTACTTTGACCTTCCAGTACTGCCATAAATGTATGCTGTCTAAAGATGCAAAGGGAACTCAACTCACACAAGAGCTTAAAGCTAAAAACCAATAAACAAAACAAACACCAACTGATTTTGGATTATTCAGAGGACAAGACTCCCACAATTCACCTTCGCAGGGAAAGTAAAAACACTATAACCAAATGGAAGGAAAGGATTCGCCTTGAATGGTAGTTTCCAGTTCATCATTCTTCCTTGGCCTCTACTGTTGCCATCATCCTCTTCCTGAAGACATTGAAGTGGACAATGGTTGCTCTTTTGCCATTGAGTTGGGGAGTAGTTTGCTCAAGCACTAAAACGTGTGAGTATTTTCTCATGGTTCCCACCTTGTAACAAACATGTAAAGTCTTTCTAGGTCTCATGCCTCTCCATTTTCCTCATGTGTGACTCAATATCACAGCCTTTTAAAACTGGAGTGATTTAAATCACAGTGGGAAATTATTAGAATTTGACGTTTCTTAGGTTGATAATTTCCTTAAGAGATATGTTGTTTTTAAATGACATAACACCAACATAGAAGACATAAATCATATAATATTTAATATCATCTTATAAGCATCAGTATCGACTAGATACGAAATATGCACTTTTATCTACCTTGATGTGCTTTTTTCTTCATGTGACTCTTTCCTCCACATACATGATTCCTGCTTATGTGGGATATTACTACACAATAAATCAGTTACAGTGTTTTCTTTAATTAACAAGTTATATAAAATTATAAAATTTGAGTAGCAACATTTTAAGGGTTGAAATAAAAGCAATTAGATAGCAGATAAATAAGCTTTCAAGAGGCTGGAGATATGACCCAACAGTTACAAGCACTTGCTGCTCTTGCAGAAGGCCAGAATTTAGTTTTCAGCATTCACATGGTACACATATACATACACACAAAGAATAGTAAAGATATACATGTATATTGAAAGAATCTTTCACATATTTTACTTTTAAAGGAATATTATAAACTATAACTTAAAAGCCAATATAAATCCTAAGTAAACCACAGCAATTACTAATAATTTAAGTTAACTTGACAAAAAAATCCCTAAATAATATAACTTCACTTATTGTAAAAAATTTTCAAAATTACAATTCTCATGATTTTTCACACACAGTTCATTCAAAATTTTATTATAAAGATGCCATTTATGCTGGAACCTTTATTTAGAACTTTAAAATATGCTGATATTTTATGAATATTTCTCTCTTAAATCACTATGTTTTCGAGGTCTGGACATGTTTTTAATTTGACTTTTTATAGAAAATTAGGCAGAAATCAGGAGCTACCAGTTCTGTTCCAATTCTCACATGCTCTCCTCTAAATGATTGCTTTGAATCTTTGAAATACCCCATGTGGCTGCACACGGATGATTTCCAGTGTTTTGTGTGACCAGCAGAGTTGCACTTTTGGAAAGCCGGAAGATCAATCCATTTCCAGGTTTAATATCTTAAGACTTTCTCTAGTGCCCTTCAAACTAATTCAAAAATATTTACTCTATTAATTCAAGCCAAATGAGTTATCCTTCCACCTGAATCACAATCTCAGGCTGTGCTCATTTTTCTTCAATAAAGCCTTCATCTTACAGTCAAACCAATTTCAACATGGGGCAGCATAGGTTTGAGAATAGTTATTGAGTATTTTCTTAAATTAGCACTAATTCCGTGATCTATTTTAGTCTTGAGGAAGTTTTGAAATTTCAGGCAGCAAGGCTTCACTGTAAACTCTGTTTATTTAAAAAAACATGCTGTAGCTTCTCTTTAGATCATATGAATCTATTTCAAAAGCTACTTCAAAGATGATGTTTTATTTGACAGCTGTGTGAAACGAGGGCTATTCTCGAGCTTGCAATGATTCTTCTCCCTTCGCCTCCAAGTGCTGGGGCTGCACGATGAGCACCACACCCAGGTGTCGTCAGAGTTCCTAAAATATCTATTTTTCTACAATCATATATTTGTAAAAAATAAAATAAAATACCTCACTCTAGTCAGAATGGTCACCACACAGAAATCTGACAACAAATTTTAAGAGGAGTTGGAGAAAGAGAAATTTTCTGTGCCTCTGGGTGAGCTGCGAAGAGAGCAGCTGTGGGGAAACAATTTGGAGATTCCTCCGAAATAAATAAATAAAAACTAAAATTATAATTACATTGTGACCTAGCTCCTTCACTCCTGAAGAGTCCTCAAAAAACTAAAAGTATACTTACATTATGTCCTAGTTACTTCACTCCTACACATACATCCGTAGAGTTCCACACCCTACCACAGAGTTATCTGTAACCCCACAGTGACTGCTGCCTTGTTCATTACACCACGAAATAGAAATACCCAAGCTATTCTTCAATAGACAAGTGAATGATGATAATCTGGTTCCCATATAAAATGGAGTACTATTCAGCTCTATATAAAAATAAAATCACAAAATTTGCAGGAAAATGAATGGAGTTGGGAGGTTTAATATTAAGCGAGGTCACACAAGTTCAAAAAGAAAAAAAAGAAAACAGCATGTTCTCCTTCATATGGAATCCTATTATATTGTGGAGTGGGGGGAGGGAGTGTATAAATAAATATGCCCATGGGTACAATATGATATTAAGGCAGAGAGAAGGGAGTAAATTTAGGTGACAAGGTAGGATAGATTTAGATAATACTCACGTGGACCATGAAAGATGAGATAAAGCCAATCATTTTTCTGTTTTAACGCTGTCATGGATTTTTCTTTTCTTTCTTTTCTTGCATGGTGGATAAGTGCATAAAATATATCTGATAAGCAGAAGTGTAAAATCCAGTCTGAAACTCTACAGCATAATCATGCCCACTCTAACTTTAGAGACGTCTGTAGCATGAATTCTAATTGTTGCAAATAATAAAAACCCGGAGTCAGATATGGGGTCAAAGCTGAAGGATCAGAGAATTAAATGAGCCAGCCACTAGAGAGACATTTTATCTTTACTGAGTCCTCAGACCAAAAGTGGCAGGATCCTGTCTCCAGACTGAATGGGTTGAGCTCCTGTCTTCTTCCATCTCATATCCTTCTCTCTGCCCAGACAAGTCCTTTCCTGTCTCCACCTCCCAAGTAGTGGGAATAAAGCTGTGAGCCACCACCATCTGGCTCTGTTTCTCTGTTCAACTGGTTCGTTCTCCTGTAGCCCAAGGTGACCTCAAACTCAACAGAGATCCATCTGCTTCCTGTGTTCTGGCATTAAAGGTGCATGCCACCACTGCCTGACTTCTATGGCTAACTAGTGGATAGCTCCACACTCCAATCTTCAGGCAAGCTTTATCAAATAGATCATAAGCAAAATATAACCACAGAAGTTCATTGAGTTTTTAGAGATTTGGGGTGTGGTTAATCTTGCTGCATAAAGATTTTTAATTTGCAATTTCTTCAAAATAAAGTTTAATCATGATAATATGTAACATATGTATGTATATGTATGTATGTATATGTATGTATGTATATGTATATGTGTGTATGTATGTATATATATGTATGTCCTAGCATAGAGAAGGAAAAAAGTCAGTGCATGTGTATTTTTACTAGATAAGTGTACTTGTCTGGAGGCAGCTATTTCTGTTGTCTGGGTTATTTTTCTTTTTAAGAGTAATGGAGTCATGCACAAATCATTTCAGAGAAAGTATCTCCAAGGCTTTAATGGCTCTCCTCTCCCTACTGGATTCTCTTATAGAAAGTCTCAATGACTATTTTTGACAACTACCTCCAAATAAACTCACCAATTATATTTACAGATGGCTCTATACTTTTAAAAAGACTCCATGTTAGTAAAATATCAAAATTACATTACCTGATGAACTCCTTATTTTCTCAAAATCCTTGCTGGTTACTATCTACTTTCAAGTCATATCCTTCCACTGGTCTCTGATTGAAAAAAACAAAAAGTCCATTTTCTGCACAGTATTGTGAAAACTTCTGTTTTTTCTTTCTGACTTCCTAGTTCATGGCCCATTGAAGAAACACATTGGTTCATTAATGACAGATACAGACGATGTCCATCTGCTATCCATCTTCAATTCTAAAGACAGAGACATAAAGATTCTTGAAACACTAGACTTGCAAAATTAGATGCAATTTAGCAAGCAGCTCAAGGAAAAAGTCATTTGATCCATGATTACTTTTTTCTATATTCTTGATCTTATGTTACATGCAAAATAAGGACACCAATGTTCTAAATATAAATTTTAATTTGAAGCCTGCACTACTTGTTATACTTCTTGTCATCTAAAAATAATAAAAATATTATGAATCAATTATTTGCCACGTACAGTTTATTTCATGTCTTACCTTGATAAACACGAACATTTCAGGCATTTTCTGGACTTTGGTTTTAGTACATTAGTTTTTTTGCATAAGAATTGTTCAAGTATTTCTGAACTGAATGTGGCTAAATACACAAGGAACAATGCTTCTGAAACTTCATCAGACACGGGATACTAGAAGAAAAAAGCATTATTTTTAATATGGTCATATTTATGATTGAAATTCTGTTTGTTTTTTTTTAAATTTTTTGGTCATCCCCAGTCAGACTACACTATGACAATCTCTCCCCTCCATGGATACCATGAACATATATCGAAAGCCTCAAAAGCAAAGTAGGTATTTCCATGGCAAATGTTAACTACAGAGATAAATCATTCAGTTAATAAGATCATTCAGTTAATAAGATGAATGAGCTCAAACCCTTCAGGAAACATGAATGAATACTTGATATAAATAATTGCATGAAGATTGCATAGGAAACAAATTATTTCTATATAATCTTAGTAAGGATAATGGTGATGTTTTGAATAAATTTCTGATGGCAATAATAAATACACTATTCTTTCATAGAAAAAAATTAATTTCAGACTTTTATACATTTCTTCAAGAAGGTATGTACAAGAATGTTGCTGTTTATAGGTTCATGTGTTTGCCTGTGTGTTGTATGCTGTATTTTGATTCAAAATGGATTAAAAATTATTCTTTCATCCAATATTTCCATTTCAAAAGTATTTGAAGATCATATTTGGTCTTACATTATTTTGTCATTTTCTAGAATCGCATAGTTTGTTTTCTTGTTTTCTAATGTTCTCCTAGTCTCAAATTTTTATGAAGTAGTAATAAGAAATTAAACTCCTTAAAATATATAAAGCCTTAGTTTTGTAAGTTTTATAATTGAGTTGATTATACAAAATCCATTTGCACCATATTTAATTTTCCTTTCAATTGTTCCCTGAAAATTGATTCTGTTTTTACTTATGTGATGTTTTTATAAGCTAAATTTCATTTATATTTAGTCTACAACACCCCACAGGCTATTGTGTAAATATCAGGATGTTTTAAGATATGAGACACCTAAGGAACTACCGAAACACCTAGGTTTGTTTTTTCCATCAAATGCCTAAATATCTGAAATTTCTTTTGTGGACACCAGAAATACAGGAAAGAAGGAAAGATACAATTACATAACCTGAGCAAACCTCCTACCATTGAATAAGAAGATAATGTAAACTGAGTGTTGAGTCGATGTCAACCTTTTGTACTGAAGATACTAAGTTCATGAGAGTGATATAATAGTTTCAAAGCTACGGAGATGTACAGCACATTTGCTCACTCATTTACTTAAGGTAAGTGTGGAAAGGTCAGGCATCGAACTGTATTCCCATGGAAGACTGAAAGGCGTCCATGTTATATTTTCCTATAGTCTGCATTTCCTTGCATCTCCTTTGTACTTAGAAGAGAATCTGTCATACAACAAATAGTCACCACACATCTACTGAAAATAAAATTTCAAAAAAGAGAAAAAATAATTTCTTTAGGAAATACTTCTCAAAGCATTCTGAAAACAATCTTTAAGGCATTTATCTGATTCTAAGACCTTAAAAAAATCAAAATCAGGGTCAACAAGATGACGTAGGGAGTAGAGGGACCTGTTGCTAAGCCTGAGGACCTGAGTTTGATCCCCGGGACCTATAGGGTGGAGGGAAAGAACTTAATCCCGCAAGTTGTCCACTTACATGGTCACGTCATCACATGAACACCCTCTACTCCAACACATGCAGTGCTTCTAAACCATCCAGGCTCCCTCTATATTTTCCTCTTCAGAGGATGTCCTTTTGGAAACAATGAAAAATTAACTACTCAGTTAAATGTGTGAGAAAAACGCATTTCAAAGTCTATCAGATTGTAAACATTCTACAATAAAGCCAAACCAATAAGGTATTGTGAAGAATACATTAAATAAATAATAGCATCTGCAAATTCAGAATAGATATTTTACATACTCTAGCCTGGGTGAGTTTTTCTATTTTGTTAGTTTGTTTTCCTGTATCTTTTTTTTTTAAAGATTTATTTATTTATTATGTACACAACATTCCTTCCATATATGCTTGCATGCCATAAGAGGGCACCAGATCTCATTATAGATGGCTGTGAGCCACCATGTGGTTGCTGGGAATTGAACTCAGGACCTCTGGAAGAGCAGTCAGTGCTCTTAACCTCTGAGCCACCTCTCCAGCCCCCTGTTTTCCTGTATCTTATAGGATCTTATTTTAATTCAATAGGGTTAATGCCTGTTTATACATATTTTTAATATGCAATGATTTATTACACTGTGAAAATGAAAATTTTATTTGTGTACCAATAACATCCCATGAACTGAAATTAATGAACATTGTGCTAAGCAGTTAAAAAAGGATTATGATCTGAGCTATAATTTTATGAAAAGAAAGACTGGGTAAACAAACAAGAGGAGGGAGAGAGAGAAATGGGAGATGAAAATAATGTAAGAAGGAAGACAGATATAGAACAACATTTTTATAACTTGGTTTTGTGAAGTAACAAATGTTCATGCTGGTGCAGTATAACATGAAGATGGTCCAACAAGGATGCTAAATGGTACGGCTTGAGGGAGGACTAAATGCAGGCAAGATGCTTGTTATGAAAGGCAGCATCAAACTAACTGTTTTTCTAGCTCTAATTTTGTCATTAGTGTTTTGGATTTTGGTTGGAGTAAAAGGCATGAAATACATTTGCTAATTAAAGTGGAACATTGCACATGAAGCTGCACAGCCTCCACTCTGAAGGCCAATTCCAACCGTACAGACATTCTTGACTTGGATAGACTTTGCGTCTGGTGAATTTTAGTGTGTAATATGTTTATTTACTTATAAGTGGTTCTTTCTTATTATTATAAAGCTTATATAATTTTTAAGTAACTAATGGACATGTAGTAGGTCCTCAATCAATATTAGTTATTGCTCACTCACTTAAAAAATTATAGTAACTAGATGAAACATCAGAATAAACACCGTTTATGAAAAAAGACACAATGAAAGAGGAAATTTAAGTACATACATATATATGTATACACACACACACACACACACACACACACACACATATATATATATGTAATAAAGTCACACACACACTACCAAAAGTAAAAAATACATTATACATTGCAGAGGAAGGCTTTGGGCCTATAGTTCTGGAACTCTCTGATCCAGAAGTATTTGACCATGTGTGTCCTGTTCCTCTGCCTGAAGTGAACCTTGTCAATGGACAGGGTTGTTCAACAGATGATGCTTCCCGTTTCTGTGAGGCAGTGATCATAATACTCCACTGAGGTGATTGTGAGGGCAAAATAGTTAAACTATTTAAAGCTTATAGACTTTGGAACAAATGGATTATGAAGCAATGTCTAAGAACCAACAAACAGTAAATGTTGGTATCATTAATAACTTTCAAATATAAACCTATACTTTGAAATAAAATATATGACAGTTGTCATACAGCCAACAAAGGGACAGATCTAAGTCTGTCTTCCTAAACCATGATATTGTTTAAACTCTCTGAAACTAAAGAAGGCAGAAAAATGAAGCCAGAATTTGACATAGACTAACTATATGCTCCTCAATAGGTATATAACTGGTGCAATTAAAAAAACCTCTATTTTCAATGTGGTTTCTGTATCACAAAGATACTCCTAGAACTGCATGGTGGTATTAAAAGTGGAGCTGGTGACTCCAAGTGTGGTGAGTTGGGTCTTCATGGGTACCTTTGTGTGAGGGCTGAAGTGGCATCTGTCAAGGTGACTTATAAAAGAAGAGGGGGCTAGAAGTCTTGGAAGATCCTAGAGAATTTGGCCCTGTTATGAAAAACCATCTTAACAGATTCACAAGGCTTCTGCTTCTTTAAAACGAAAATCTGGTTACTATCAAACATTGCAAAAGGCTCCCCAAATAGTTTAAAATAATTATTTGGCTCAAACTGTAAGTGCATTCGTTGTAAGCAAATGTGTAATGACTGACAATTTATCTACACCCTCCCTGAGACCTTACCTGCATTGGTAAGAGTGAGCCAACAGGCCCTATATGGTGAACACGGAAATGAACAAAGCAACTGCCTGGAAAGCTTTATGTAGACTTAAACTGTTCCACTAACCCAGAAACCCCTCCCTCTGTCGAAGGCAATTAAGGTACTATAGAACCATAAAATCATTTTCATGGTGTAGGTACTCAAGGGAAATTCCTCTTACATCAGAGAATCGCTTAATGGTGTTTAGGCTACTTCCAGCAGCCAGCTCCGCTATGCCAGGGCCAAACTATCCCACCTCAGGAGCTGGAAAATGCCAACATTTAAAGCCTACCAGTCAGAAGTGGCTAAGTCAGTGCTGAGAGAGTTTTACCATCTGTTAGCTCTTTTTTTTTTCCATCATCCCTATGTACTCATGGAAAGAAAGTTGTGTGTGTGTGTGTGTGTGTGTGTGTGTGTGTGTGTGTGTGTGTTCAAAGGCAAATGAGAATAAACTTTCAAATTAAATACCCTCAGAAACAAATTTACCCACTTGAGCTTTGCCACTGCCTGGGGCAGCGAAAAACCAAAACAGGATGTTTTTCTGAAAGAGCGGTCAGTTTTACCTTACTGTCTCATTATAGAGAACCACCACCCACCTGGGAGGTCACTGTCTTGCTCCGGAGGAAGAGTAATTAAGATTCAATTTAGGTCACTTAAATCTCCCGAGTTCAAAAGTCCTTGCAGAACGCTAATAGTTCTCAGGGCTCTCGGACAGCTGTATGTACAATTTCTAATTTTTCTCCATGTCCTTCAAAACTGTCCCCACCCTATAAAGCACTCTTTTGTCATCTTGAGAACGGTCTAGAGCTAGCGTTTCATGGGGAGAGATGCTGTGCTGAGGCTTGCAAATGCTCCCGGTGTGACATTTAACCAACCGGGAGCTTTGAACTAGAAAAACAGGCTTAAGGTCTCTTTGACTCTCTCACCTGGAACACAATCTCTCTCAAAGCCCAGGAAGGACTCCTCTGAAGTCCCTTTCCCTGACTAAATCCTTCCAGAAGCCTGCAGTGATCACGAGCCTCCTCTTTAGAAGCTCCTCAAATAGTAGCGGTTCCCACAAAAGAGCCTGAAAGTGAAGCACCACGCCGAATCTCCGGTAACCTTTGTCCCTGCTACCTACTCGCTGTCTAGTCTTTGGACTCATTCATCCCCACTAAAAATCATTTACTAAAATTGCCTCCAGCTTCTGTCTTCTTTCTGCCTATGAAGAAGGTTGTACACGCTTCTCAGTCTCGGTGGGTTAATGAGTACTGTGTGTCAGCCGGTACTTTAGTATCTCATCTCCTGTTAGCCTGTCCATTGTCAGTTCGTTTCCGAAGACCCAATTAGCAACTCATCGGAGAAGAGAGAAAGAAAGCTTTTGCTCCACAGTTTAAAAACCACAACAAGGGCCTTCAGTTCTGCCCAGTGCTCAAATACACCTGCTGCCATGCCTGGCTTGAATTCAACATACCGGACCCTCGTGGTACAAGAAAAGAACGGACACTGGCAAGCTTTCTCCCGATTTCTACAAGTGCACCATGGGATATGCATGCACACATGCACTCGTGACACAAAACAAGTAGATAACAATAAGTGCAAAAATGCATAAATAAAATGTGTAAATAAATGCATGAGCAAAAATATTTTCAAACCATGAAAAACAACAAGCAGCCGCATTTGTAAAACCCTTACAATTTAGGATCTGATTACATTTTGCATAAAAATAGAAAGCATTTAATAGGAATAGTATAGCAGTCATTATATTAAAGTAATCAAGATTTTGAACTTTAGGCTATGGTATGGATGGCTTAGTAAATTGTCTGCAAAATATGCTGGGCTAGAACTTTGGTTAATAGGAGCAAGATTCTGGATCTTTCTTGCCTGGAATCCTGCCCTTTGAAAAACTGGTGGTTTTGACATAATATGACCACTAGCAGTAGTAGAAAGTGATTAGAAACATAGATTCAAAGGTAAGGGGAGAATGGAGAGGTGAATTCTATCAAAACATGCCAAAGTGGACTGGAAAAGCCCAAGAAGATGCCTCAACCTTACACAAAGAACTGAGGAAAGCTAAGAGCAGAAGAGGTGATCTTTTCCAGGAAAAAAACATGTACACCCTTGCTTGTCCAGAGTTAAAAGTCAGCTGAAAACAAATATACACCTAGCATTATATGGACTGAGCATGCTATATTTTGGAATATGCATATATGTATGCAAGGTATAGGTACATGTATGTCTATACGATATGTGTATATGTAGATGTATAAGATTATCTGCATGCAATACTATTAGTGTAAAAAGAGGCCATGAATTTGAGGGAGAGTGTGGAGAGGAATATATGCTAAGGTTTGGAGGGAGGAGAGGGAAGGAAGAAGTTTTGTAATTATACTATAATCTTAAAAATAAAATAAGATGAAAACTACTTTTACAAAGAAAGAAACTGGATGCCAGCATCTTTACCAGCGTGAAGCTGTAGTTAACTTAGGCGACAGCAGTGGACTAGCCAGAAATTTATTCAAAGATACTATAAATGGACTACATAAAATTTGGCTGAATAAAAAATGATTTAAAAACAAGCAAATAATGAAAACTATACATTTATGCAAGGAAAGTCACAATAACATTTCGTAAAATAAAAGGCAAGACAGCTCACAGCTGCCTGGGCAGTGGGTGTTGCTCCCCTGCCCATAGCTCATCAGCACAGGGGAAGTCCTATAGAGGAAAGTATTTGAGCACAGGCTTCACCCCAGTGCTGGGTTATATAGATGCAAGGATGACCTCTACACAGACGGGGGGGGGGGGTTGAGCAAAACATTGCATTTGAATAAACCGTGAGCACACACATCTAGGGAAACCAGATTCTCCTTGCTTGCTCTTGAATAACACCAAGCAAGTCACTGAAATACCACCTACAAAAAGAAGCAGTTTTGGGCAGAGAAGGTTCAAACTGTTAATCCCAGCCCTTGGGAGGCAGAGGCAGGTAGAGCTCTGTGAGTTCGAGGCCAGCCTGGACTAGAGAACAAGTTCCAGGACAGGTTCCAAAGCTACACAGAGAAACTGTTTCGAATGCACACCCCCACCCCTGCTGTCAAAAAAAGGAGCAGTAATTGCTAGGGTCCACTGACTTGTGTCAAATCCCAATGTCTAAAAATGACAGGACGATTTGTTAGAGTAAAGGCTCCATCCTCAGCAGGGTCCTACGTGGTAGCAGTGAAATTTTAAGAGATGGATAATCCAATGTAAGATTATAGGTCACTGGGTTTGTGACCATGAAGGAATGAAGATTATAGACTTTAAACCCTTTCTTCCTCTCTTTCTTCCTCTCCCTTTCCCCTCTCCCGTGCTCTCTCCATTTCCTTTTTCTTTCTTTGTCTAACCTTAGGCTATAAACCTTAGGGGTGGGGTCTATGTGGAGAGATGGCTCAACAGTTAAAGGTGTTTACTGCTCCCGCAGAAGACTCAGGTTTAGTTCCCAGCATCTAAATGGTGGCTCACAACGACCTGAATACCCACTTCCGGTGCATCCGGCTCCCTCTTCTGATCCATGTGGGCACCAGGTGTACAAGAATACATACAGGCAAAATACAAAGAAAGATAGCAACTGAGGAGTGCCGAGAGTGGAAGAAACCGTCTTCCTCGGGGAAGAGCACACCAACTGTTATCCAGTACCAAAGGGTCGGCCCTGAAAACAGGCATATATATGTAACACCATACAGACTAAACAGGTTGTATCTAAGAAAATATATATATTTGTTTACCAAGAGTTAATAAAAAAAGAAGGCCATGAATTTGCAAAAGATCATAGAATAGTATATTATATGTGAGGATTTGGAGGGATATAAGGGAAGTGGGGGAATGATGTAACTGTATTACAACCTCAAAAATGAAAAAGTAATAAAAAAAGGAAATCCAACTTCAGCAGCAAAGTGAAACCTTATCTCAATAAATAAACAAATGGGCAAAGTATTTCAACCAAAATATTGAAAGATATAAACAAAACAAGAAATGTGAATTACCATATTACTTAGAAATGAAAACCTCTTCCAGCTTTTGGTTGTCTTAGATGTTAAACTTACTAGGCAAAGAATGAGATTGAAATTTTATAAATATAATCACACAAAAATCATGGTAAAAAATTAAGACAATTTAGGTAGCAAGGATTTAAAAGATAGGAGAATTTCAGTAGATAGATAGAATATGTGAAAGTATGATTTGGAGTGACTTTTGTGTAGTTGGGTTTTCTGAAAGGATCCCTACGTTGAAAATGTGTTCTTGGTGAACTGTTGGTATTTGTTGGAACCTTCCAGAGGTGATGTTTAGTAGACAATGCTTAGCCCAGTAAAGGTGACAGCCCTCTGAATTGTGGTGCTCAATGAATGTGAAAGCAAGAATGAGTTACTACAGAAAGAACCACCCTAAGCCCTGGTTATTTCAGCCTTCCTTCTCATCATGTGATATTTTTGCACTTGCTTTAATCATTGTGATGTCATCTGCCATGAAGCCCTCAGCAGGAGCCAAAGAGATGAGGCCACCTGAAACCGGACCTTTAGTTTACAGAACGGCTGACAAAATAAGTTTGCTTTCTTTATAAAGTACCCAACATCAAGTATTCTGTTTTGACAACAGAAAATAGACTAGGACATTTAGAAAGGCAACAGACCACTTGATGGAATCCAAGAACACACTTGAAGCAGCAGGAGAAATAAAAAGGATGAAGTCAACGTCAAAAAAACAAAATCATAAACCTACAGGATAGAGAAAAAAGTCACGGAAGAAAATAACAAAGGATTACAAAGCACAGAATGAAATCAGATGCACCCATCTGGCCAATGTATTTCTAACATAAGCTGGAAAAGAGAGGAATATGGACAATTAGCAGTTGATTTTGCCTCAGAAGCAACGGATGCGAAGGAGCAAAGGGTGTGTGGGAAAAGATGAGAGAGGAGAACTGTAGGAATGAACTCTTTACCCCACATCCACTGGTTTTCAAAATGAAACCACTTTCTGAATCCTCTCAATGAGATAGTGAAACAAAAGAACATATAAAGGAGAGAGAGTTGACTAGGACTGGAAACAAATATCAAATGCACATACTTTTTATATTTTTAAATCTGTTCCTTTTGATATAAATATGGTAGCTCTACATGCTCATGCTCTAACAATACTAAGTGCAACATACAAAATAATAGCATAAATAAATGAAAACTAAATGGAAATAAACTAGGGTAAAAGTGATGTAATTTTGATAAAGTTAAATTGATAATAGCAAATTTTATATTTAGTTAATAAAATACATAGTGGAACATGTAGCACAGGAAATGAGAGAGTGCTTTAATAATATAGTTCACCCAGGGCCCAGCAGTGCACCCAGGGTCCAGCAGTCTGCCCAGGGCCCAGCAGTGCACCCAGGGCCCAGCAGTCCGCCCAGGGCCTAACAGTCCACCCAGGGCCCAGCAGTCCACCCAGGGCCCAGCAGTGCATGCACCCAGGGCCCAGCAGTCTGTCCAGGGCCTAACAGTCCACCCAGGGCCCAGCTGTCCACCATCACTCACTCTTGGCTCTGTGACCAGTTCCTGATTTCTGCATTAACTGCCGCCCACTACAGCATGAACTTACCCTGTTTTCTGTTGTGTTTGTTGTTGTTGCTTGTTTGCTTGTTTTTAGGAGTCATGGTTAGTTCTCTCCAAGGCTGCTGGGTTATCCATATCCAGCCTCTGGTTCCTAGCCCTTCAGGCAGTGTCAAGAGTGGACTCTGTCTTGTGGAGGCGTCAGAAACTAAAAACAACCTAGATGTCCCTCAACTGAAGAATGGACAAAGAACATGCGGTATATTCACACAATGGAGTATCATGCAGCTATTTTTAAAACAAAATATGAAATTTGCAATCAAGTAAACAGAACTAGAAAAATAATCTTCCTGACCCCAATAGACAAACATGGTTTGTACTCATTTATAAGCAGATCTGAGCTGTAAAGTAAAGGATAATCATGCTACAATCGACAAACTCAGAGAGGTTAAGTAACAAGGAGGGATCAAGGAGGGAGAAATCATGGATCTCCCTGGGAAACACAAATAAAATAGATATTGTGGGTGGGCTGGGGGAGGGTAAGGAGGGGAACAAAGAGGGGATGGGGATCAGGTGTCAGGGGAGAGGGCTGGGAGAGACAACTGCAATTGAGCACATTTCAGTGGTGAGGTAGAAACCTCATATAACGGAAACTCCCCAGAATCACAAGAGTAATCCTAGGGAAGACTCCTAGTAATAGGGAATATGGAGCCAGAACAGGGCATCTTCTGTAACCAGGCAAGGCTTCCAGAGGAGGGACTGGGACACCAACCCAGCCACAAAGCCTTCGAGTTCCACAATTTGTCCTGCCTACAAGATGTGCTGGAGTAAAGATAGAGCAAAACTTGTGGGAGCAGCCAGTCATTGGTGTCCTTGCTCTTATTCAGAGAAGGTTTAGGCAGTTACATTGGCAAGACTTCAATCATGTAGCTTCCGACATTCCTATGAGATACACTGTCATGGTCAACTCCTGTTTCTCTAGCTCTTATACTGTTTCCTCCCCCTCTCCAGGGCAACTGAAGTCATGGATCTTGGAGGAGAACCTAGAACTGCCACTTGATAAAACCAGCTTAGTCCTAACTGCTTTCTAAATATCTGACCTTGTGCCCCCAGATCAGCGTAGTTCCCATTCCACATCAAGAAAACTTCTCTTTGCAGCAGACCAAGATGATTCTAAAAGCCATAACCAAAGCAAAATACAGAATTTCAAAACTCAGGCCCAAAGGATACATATCTACATTATAATCTAAGGCTCAAAGATCATTGTGAAAGCTTATATTTTAAGCCAACATTCATTGAAACAGGCACTACCGTCCATCACGTTTTATATAACACTTGATTAATAGATACAGGTGATAAATATTATTTATTCATAGATATCATGAAACTTATCTAATGTTAGAAATAGAAGATATAATTAGTAATATTGATAATAACCAATTAGTTTGAGGGATTATCATGACTCAGATACTAGGGAACCTACAAAACAAATACATAAAGTAGTTGCTCTGTTTTCACATTTTAAGGTGCAAAATATTAATACACAGAAAGATCGATCAACTTTCCAAAACTTATACAGCCAGCAGATAAGCGGTGGTGACAAGATTTGAATACAGCTGATAAAGACCTGGGTACATAGCCCAGTTACTGTCTTTATCCTGCTAAGTCACTCACTACTAAAGGCTTATGTATGAGTCAGAGTTCTCCATAGAAACAGAATTAATAAGTCTGTGGAATAGAAACAGACTTTTCAGGAAAAAGTTTTTCAAGGGATTTACCCATGTGGTGATGAAGATCAAGAAGTCCGTCAATATGCCATTTAAAACTAGACAGCTGGAAATATAGTTCAATCAAGTCTGGTCCAAATCCCTAAATACCAGAAATACCACTGTACACGGAGTGAATTTTCCTTTTGTCAGCTTTTTTTATTATTTGTGCCCATGGCTGATAAGAACATGGATACACAGAATGAGGAAAGTCATATTCATTTCTCAGTCCACCAATTGGGAGGCTGGTCTTTTCCAGAGACCCTCACAGGCACACCTGGAAGCAATAGGTCATCACCTCTCTGGACATCACACACACACATGGGAGCCATGTTCCCATTAAATTAAACCAACTCAACCCATAATACAACAGCTTTCTAGTCATTGTTGGAAATCTCATCGACCCTAACAGTATATGAATTAAATCTGGTAGTATCACATCCATTTAAATCAGTATAAATATATGTTATAATGTTTGCTCAAAGTCAAACCTATCTAAAGACACAATTCTGAAGATCTCCAATAAGTGATATATGACTGTATAGATCACACACAAGAAAAAGGAAATCATATGTAAGGAAAAATAAACCTATCCATATCTTCTATGATATAATAGAGATATTTAAACATGATTACATATAACTTTCAAATTTGGACTATCATATGGAAAAGAAATCAGGACAGTTTGAGCAGTTTCATAGCTAATTTAGGTTATTTTAAATAACATATTTACTATCAATATTACTTTGATAAATTGAAAAAAGAGCATGAGACTAAAATGAGGGCAACATGAACATTTATCTGATTCTCTGTTTCACTTTATTTTATTTATTTAGTAATACTGTGGTCCAACATAGATTTTTCACCTGTTAGGAACGTACTCTACATTTGAGCCACATGGTAGGTCTCCTAATTTTGTTTTAAAGAAGAACAATAATTTTAATTGTGTGTTGAAGGTGCCTTGACTTGGCAATTATTCAGATCTCCATCCTTTATAACTTGATAAGTCAAATGACCTTTTAAATTACACTGTCATTTCTGTTGGAACATTCACTTCAGATCTTCTGGCATTTTGATCTGCATATCGGTGTGCTTTTTTTCTTCTGTACAGATTTTAGCACGTTTTATTTTACATTTCATTTGAACTCATAGTTTCTTTCCACTGTAACTATGTCTTTTATGCCCCCCAACTACCAGACACCCTTTCTACCAAATACCCACATCCTTCAGAGATCTCTAGCCTGCACAGTTTGAGTTCTGGTCTTTTTAGGGTAGCAGAAGATACCAAGTATTGAGGTCCAGGTTCCATGTATATTAAACAGGAGCTCCACCACTGAGTTTCCAACCCTAGCCCTCCCTTTTTGTCTTTTTTGAAATAAAAGGCTCTCTATAAAGTTAAATACGCTGAGCAAATGTCCAAACTGAATTAACTGATTAATCAACAGAAACTGTTCGGCTGAACAGCAAAAATAAATTCAGAAATAAGCAGATGAAGTGATTTAATGTTCCTCATCCTGGCAACAATCTTGCTGGCCATGTTTTTTGTTATTGCTGCTATGATGGTGGTTAATATCAATATTGTTGTTGTTATATTGAGTGTTTGTGTGTATGTGTGCATGCGCACGCACATGTGTGTGAGTTTTCACACTCATCGTGATGCATGTGTGCTGCTCAGGTCAGAGAACAGCATCCATGAGTCAGTTCTTCCCTTCCATTATGTGAGTTCCAGACACCAGCTCTGGCCTTCCCTCTTGTCGAAAAACACCTTTATCTATTGGACTATCTTGTTGGGCGCACCTTTGGTCATTCTTAGTTTGTTTTAACTTTTACAAATTCATTAAAAGTATACTGGAGTTAATTCTATTTGAAATGTGCTTTAAGTGTTCTTCCATAAAGTCAGTTGTGTATTATAGGTCCTCTTTTATTTTCTAGTTGACTGTCCATTCAAAGTATTTAGCTGATATCTGAAATATGTCATATAGTTTCATAAATACGTACATGTATCTAATTAAATTATGGCAAGGAAAAGATTTCTTAAATAAATAAAGAATAAAAGTTTATTGGTAAAACATATCCTCCTGAAATAACTGTTAAAGAGTATACTTCAACATGAAAAATAATTTCACCTAAAATGAATTTCAAGAAATAATAATGAGCAAAGGAATTAGGACAATAAAATGATAAATGTGAGAAAGGCATATCTTATTTCACAGTGTGTTTCCAAAACCCAGAATTTGAGTTAGAAGTCTAGGTCTTATGTGTATTTCTCTTGGAGCACATATAGATCATATGGATAGAGTAGAACAATGACTATTTTAACTCCTACTCCGGAAAACTCCCTTAAAGAAAAAAATAACAAACCAGAGGACGACAACAACAGTATGTTTGTGTGGTCCACATTGCCAGTAAATGCAGAAGCTGTGGGAGGCCCCATAAAGTCAGGAAAAGGAATGCATGGTCAGCTGCATGGGAGCTTCAAGCAAGAGATCCAGAATCTCAGGTTGAAATAGCACTGTTAGCTTTGACTATCTGCTAGATAAGAAAAGTACAAAGTCAGGCTGCTGGGGAGGAGCTGCCCCACCCTTCTTACCCTTTCCCACTGACCACCACTCAGTGTTGTCAGGATAAGCCAATAATCAGCAGGGATCTTAAAAAAATAATAAAAAGAATACTTACTTGTAAGAATAATGCTTTTACAAAAACAGATGTAATGTAACATACGGCGATCATAAACCTTTAGGCAGTTAACAAAATGACATTGAAATGAATCATTTAAAATTATTATTATCCCAAAGGCTATTTTAAAAAACAAACAACTCTGATAAATGGTTTTAGGATTTCCAGATACGACACAGGTAAATGGTTTTAGGATTTCCAGAGATGACACAGGTTAAAAGGTAATAAATTTAAAATAATGTAATCAGTACAAAATAAAATTTGTGAGATACATATAAATATTGCTTCAAATGCTTATGGGATTAAATTAATACATTTGGGGAATGGAAAACAATAACATGACATTCAACTCTACATCTAGAGCAGTTAGACTGAGTGAACTCACAAGTAATAAGAAGAAAGCAAAAGTGGAAATTCATAAGGGAGAGTACAAAATAATATGAGTTTATTTTGTATGCTTGACCTTTTAAAAGACTAAAAACATTTTTGAAAGCATTGATTAAAGATAAATTAATTTGAGCCAATAGACATGGTACATGACAAAAAGAATTTGATTACTGATAAAAAGTATGAGAGACTTTTACAATGAACTTCAAGTCAATAATTTTGGATATATACATGGAAAATAGAAAGTGTAGTTCAATTTGTTTCTGAGAGTATTCAACTATTTCAGCGAGAAATAATATTCAAAAGAGAATTAAATGTTAACTTTGATGTGAAAATTCTAAACAAAATAGTGCTATATAAAATTTAGATGCATTTCAAGAAAATATCATGACCAAGTGAGCTTCCCAAATAATGCAAATATGATTTTAATTTAGAGTAGCCATTAGTGTAAGATCCATGGGCAAAATAAGATGGAAAAATCCTACAACCTTGTAAAAGTGTGCTATCTAGCATTCAATAAAAGTACTCGTTTGTGATTAAAAAAATTTTTTTAACCAAGAACAGAAAAACTTAAAGTAAACAGAGCTTTTAATAGTGAAACTTTAGAAGTGCTCCCAATAAAGTTAGG